ATTATAATATTATATATATTTAATATAATGTAATTATTAATATATATGTTATTATAAAATTATATATATATTTTATTATGGTTATATAATAGGTATATATTATATGATTATATATATAATATGTTATTATATAATATGTTATAATTATATATATATGTATCTTATTTTTAATTATTATAATAAATATATAATATTATGTAATAATTTTATTGTATATTATTTATAATAATATATATGTTAATATATATATATGTATATATATATGTATTATTATGATATTAATATATGTATATATATTATATGTATTATATAATTAATGTTTATATATATTATATTATGTTTAATATTTTATATATTTATGTTAAATAATATATATGTTATATTATCTATGGTCTTATATATAATTATGTATATATATATATAATTGTATATTATAATTTAAATTATAATTATAATATTATATATATAGAAGAGTCTATATTTTATAATGTGTTAATATATATATAATGTATAATCATAATTCTATATAATTGTTATATATATATATTTATATTTAATTATTATAATATATATAATATATATATAATATAATATAATATGTGTATATAATAATATATATGTGGGTATATAGATATTATATTTAGGGGTATTATATTTATATATAGGGGGAGATAAATAGATAGTATAGATGATATATAATATATATATATAGTCTATAGATAATTGTATTATATAGATAGATGAATTGTTATATAAGTATATAATATATGATTGGATATAAAGTAATTATGATATTAATATGTATAATATTGACATATATTAATAGAAGTGAGTTTAGAACCAAAGATAGATATATGATGTAGGTAAACCGTATGTTTATAGATATATTAATAGATTATAGTTATAGGATAATTATTATATTTATATTATATTATAATTATATATTATATATGTTTAATTATTTATATGTTATGTTATAATATGTATTACATATATTTATATATATATGTATACATATTAATATTATATATATATTATATATATAATATATATATATATAAATATATATAATGTATTATTATATGGTATATATATGTAATATAATATATATGTTAATATTATATGTATATATATTATGTATATATATATGGTATATATATTTATTATTTATGGTATATATATATATTGTATTAATATATTATATATGTAATATATATATGTATTTATATATTATATATGTAATATATATATGTAATATATTATGTATAAAAAATTTATATTTATAAGTAGTAATATATGTTATATATATATGGTAAATATTAATAATATATTATGTATTTATAATATATATGTATTAATATAAATATGTATTATTATTTTATATATTGGGGTATAATATATATTAGGGGGTATAATATATATATGTATAATATTTAATACTGTATATATTATATAGTATTATATATAATGTATAATTATATTATATGTTTTATTATATATATTATGTTATAATATTATTATGTATTATTAATTATTTATGTATCTATATAATATGGTATGGTTATAATAATGAAATATATTATTATGTATATATTAATATATATATGTAATATAATATGGTAATATATATATGTATAATATAATATTATGTATTTAATATATTATTATTTGGTTTAATATATTAATATATGTTATTATATATATGTTATTTATTAAATATATTGTTATATAATATATCTTATGTTATTATATATATGGTAAATATACTATATGTTTTATATATATAATTATGTATATATATTAGATTATATATATGTTATTTATATTATATAATATATAATATAATAATAATATATATGTATATATTAGAATATATGGGTATATATTATAATGTATTATATTGTGATTATATGTATATATATTTATAATGATTAATATTATTTATGTATATATAATATGTATATATATATTTATATGTAAAATATATTTGTAATAAGGGGTATATGTATTATATATATCTGTTAATTATATTATAATATTTGTACATTGGTATATTGGAATCGATAATATTTGTATATACCTTATGATATTATGGTATATTGTAATGGTAATAAGATTATAGAATTGTATATTATTTTTATATATTGTATGTATATGTTATATATATAATTTATGTATTTAATATAATTATATTGTTATAATGTATATGTTTATAATATATCATATTATGTTATAATATCTTTGTATACATCATTTATGTATTATATGGTTATATGTAATATTGTATATATATTTATGTAATATTATATATGTAAATTATATATTATTATGTTATATAATATATGTATAATTATATATATGGGTATAATATATTATATGTCATTAATTATGTATTATTTATAATATATGTATATTATTAATTATTATATGTAAATAACTAGATATATGTATATATAATATGTAGACATTTATATGGTTATTAAGATTGATATGTATTAAGATTAGATAATATATATTAGGTGATATATATATATATATATATGTTATAATGAATATAGATGGATTGTATATAATTGGTTATAATATATATATATATAATATATATAATATTTATAAAGATATTTATTATAATATAATTATATTATATAATTAATATTTTAATGTATATATATATATAATATAATCTAATATAATATATATATTAAATATTATATATTATGTTATATAAATTTAATATATTATTATATTGATAATATAATTGAAGTATATATTATAATATGTATATATTATATATAATATATATAATATATTATATTATGGTAGTATAATATGGTATATATTATATGGTTATATTATAATATTGGGTATAATAATATATAATTATGTATTATATCTTATTTGGTATTCTATAATAATGTTATATATAATATATAAGTATATATATTATTGTAATTAATTATAATATGTATAATATATAGTTGTTAATATTATTATATATATTATATAAATTTATTATATTTATATAATTTAGTAATATATATATGATATATATATATATATAATCTAATAAATATATTATAAATATGTATAATATTATTATATAAATGTATATATATATATGTATATATTATAATATTATGTATATAAATAATATTATGGTATAAAATATATATTATTATGTATTATATATATTATATGTAGATTAATTAATATATATTATATAATATATATAGTATATATATAATGTATTAATATATATATTGTACATATCATATTTAATTGTATAAAATATATATTGTTTTTGTTTAATTAATATAATATAATATAAATATATTAATATATGTAATATATTTTTTGGTATATATTATATTATGTATAATTATATGTATATTATATATTTGTAATATAATATAATGTATATATTTTAATATTATGTATTTATAATATATGGTATTTATATATATATGGTATTAATATATTTTTATGGAATATTTTATAATATATGTATAATATAATATAATGGTTATATAATAGTATATAGATTTATAGTATATATAATTTTGTATATTTATATTATGTGTGATTATATATTAATTAGTATATTTTAATTATTCTATGTATATATATAAGTATATATTCTTATATGTAATATTATATATTAGTATATAATATTAGGGTATTATTATAATTATATGTATATTATATATCTGTATATATATGTAGTATGTTATATATTATAATAATTGTATTAATTATATAATTATGGTTATATGAATTATATGTGATATATAGAATGTAATATATATATGTATATATTTTATGAATATTAATAATAATGTATATTAATAATTTTATATGTTTATATTAATATTTGGCATATTTATATATATGTCATATATATATATTGCATTTATTATATAGGGGCAATATATATTTATGGGCATTTATATATAGGGCATTCTAGTATATATGCATATAATATGATATATATATATGCATATATATATGTCTATATATATGTATATATATATGTATATATATGTATATATATAGTATATATATATATATATATATATATATATATATATATATATATATATATATATATATATATATATATTATATATATATGTATATATATATGTATATATATATGTATATATATATATATATATATATATATATATATATATATATATATATATATATATATATATATATATATATATATAGACTTTGTTTTATAGTTACAGAATACTGTGCAGGAATGTAGATATATTATATATTGTGTAGTATCCCACTATTAACCCATTTGCACCGGGTAAAAATAAACAAAAAATGGGGAAAATGCTTTGCTCATTATTTATATTTTTTTGTGAAATGTCTCTACACTAGATGGCTCCGCCTTACCTGATTTCACCTTTACTTGAATTGGCGGGAAAATGTATTTTTACTGGTGCTACGAATACCGATTGTTATTTTTATTATAAACATTATAATTACTATAATTTTACAAACATTAGTAAAAACAAAATATGATAACGTAAAATATTTTTTGTAAAATAAAGAAAAGGGTAAACAGGCGAGACAGGCAGTACAAGTAGAAATGTAGCTATCTATGTGGAAAAACATTTAAACAAGTAAACTCTCAGTGGGCCTGTCACGTATACATGACACCCGGCGCAAATGGGTTAACCCATTGCCGCCGGGGAAAATGAATAAAAAATAGGGGAAATGCTGTACTTATTGTTTATATTTTTGTGAAATATCTCTGTCCATAGATGGCTCTGTTAGTCCTGATTTCACCTTTCCTTGAATTGGCAGGAAAAAACTTATTCTTACTGGTGACTTAGTACAAGTGTAGCCATCTATGTGTAAAAACAATCAAACAAGTACTCACGGTGGGCATGGAATGTACATACATGCCATCCCCGTCGGCAAGGGGTTGATGGTATAGCTATACTCACTATTTTGTTACTTTAAATTTCCTGCAGTTTGGATAACATTTTTTCCTTTGCAGATCCATACCAGCTGAGGAATGTGGCATTTACTTTATCTAATACTCGCTTAGCTGAGTTGCATCATCGCCTCGAGAAACTTCGCACATGTTCTGGAGCAGATAGCTGTGATGATTTTCCAAGTTCACGTGTAGGTCTAATAATACACCGTATAGTAATCTAATTTGAAATCTGTTCATTTGTGTTGTTATTATATGCACAAAACCACTGCTGTCAGTACAAGAAAAAATATTAACTTTAAGCCCTTTTACAGAGTCTGAGAAATAGGCAAACTCAGTGTACCATATTGTTTACAACTTGTTTATTATAGTCTTGAAGTAAGACAGCAAGCAGAATGTATCTTTAAAAACTTCATCAGTTCATCAGTAGGTAACTGAAACTTAGTAAGGGGGTGAAACTCCATTGTTGGAAGTTATCTATCACCTCAGATGCAAAACATGAAAACCATGAATGCTGTGTTGATTCATTCACTGACATCAAATTTTAAGGCATAGCTTATAGAAATCTGTACTCAGGATAAAGTCAATTTTCGTATCATACTCACTGCCATAGTGTTAGCAGATGAATCAGCTCACTAATCATATTATTCACCTTTTTTTTACACCTGTGAGGTATGGTATGTAGATGACTAAACAGAGGTTAGAATCTGACTATGGATTATGTAAACCTCTTGTGGATTTCTTTTTGTGAATATAGATATTGTAGTAATATAGCAGCTGAAAGAATCCAGGACAAATAATAATGACATAGTGCCATCTATGAAGAAATGTTGGCTAAGGAAAGGAGAGAGAGATTAGGAGGATACAACCTACTTCTTCACTCTATGCTGTATCAAGATGGTAATAGACTGTTTTCCTTGCACAGACTCCATATCATATCTGTAGGTGGTCTATAACTCTGTACAATAACAATAAGTAACATTTTTTAATTTGTTACTTTTTGTAATACACCCTACTCCTGCATCATGGTGGGCAGGAATAGGATACTGAGCATGGGAATAGTGTCCTCCCTGGAGCCAGTGCTCTTCTAGTCATGGCTCACGGATGGTGCATTCTACATTTGTTTACCAATAGAAATAGTGCTAGAGTACTTTCCTCTTAGCCCTCTCAGTATAATATTTAAGCTTTGTGCATGAGTCATGGCGAGTCATCCCTGTCACCTTGACCTACAGCCAAATTTTCCATGATGACATATTCCTGTCACTTGGCCCTCACCCAACTTTTTCATGACATGGTGGTCACATCACCTGGATCCAAGGATTTAATATATATTTGCAAAGTTTCATGTTGTATTTTGAAGATTGCTCCTTGTACTAAGGATGCTAGATTGTAAGGACATCTTTCCCCCGAACACATACACATAGACACACATTGAACATGAACACACATGTAAATACTCATATATACATTCTAATCATATATATATCATATATGAATCTTATCTGAGTATTAAATTATGTTATTAAATATTTCAGGGAAGCGATAACAGCTTTGAAGATCCCCAAATACTTGAGCAAAGTGATGACCATTCTCTTATGAACAATGTTGTGGGTCCAGTAAGAAAACTATCAAAAGCAGAACGCTTACAAGAGCGAATGGAGAGACGCAGGCAACGAAAATTACAGAAAAAATTAAGACGCAAATATTCAGGTAAACTTTTTTTCTGATGACATTTAATGTGGCTATACTCTTGGATACCATATACTGTGAAGTTTTATTGTTGATATTTTGAAATAGCATTAGGTAAACTAATAAGTGACAATGCTTTCTTTCCTAGGAAACCAGTTATATGGAGCTAGGAGTAGACATGTCCTGGATTCCATGGGATCAAGGAAACACAAAGTACGTTTGCCAAGAAAGAGTCGTCTGGGAAAGGAACAAAGAAGGCAGAAAAGAAGAGAGCGAAGGAGAAAGAAGAAATCAAGAAAAGAAAGACTTTTATCTAGTGGATAGTGTCTAAGAATATTTCTATTAATTTTATCCAATATTAACATGATTCATCACATAAGGTGATGGTTTATTTTAAGTAAAGTAGACTAGTTTAGTATTTTATATTTGTTATGTAGCTGCAACATAGACGGTAAGAAATGACTGCTACATATTATCACTAAATAGGATTATTACACATTAGAAAGAAATAGACAGCACTAGAATTTTGTCTGTGTCTATTACAGCTAGATAATGAATTATCATATATCAAGAAAACATAGAATATCTGACTCAAGAAATACGGAACTGAAAAATGGAAGTAAATGCAGAATTTAGGACATCTCTTGTTGCAAAGATATTAAATGATATTGATTCAGAGGAATTAGAAAAGTACTTAGGATTTCTGTGCATTGAAAAGGCTACCATGTTTGGCATCATACTATTTGGAGGAAGCCAGGCACAGGAGGTAGCACTGTAGTAGTATTCATTATACTCGTTAGATGTGTTCATGTATTATAAGTATATAGTCATAGAGGCTTTTAAGTATAGGATTACCATTATTTATATGTGAATATTATTTTTATGGACTCAGAAGGCTTTTAATTAGCTGAATAATTTAAACATTCTTTATTTTCCATCATTCTCAGAACTTGATAAGACAATACTTTTACCTTAAGTACTCATAGTTCACATTACCCACCTGTGCTTTCATGCCCCAAGCTAATCCCTGAGAAGTAAAGGGTTTTAATGCCTAAAGCTGCTTGTAGGCCAGTAGAAAGTTATGATAAGAGATATATAAAATCAAAAGTTGTAGAATATTGCAAGTATAATGACATGAAAAAATATTGATTTAAATTGTTAAGTTTAGTATTTACACTGCACTTTAAAGAAATTAAAATGTGTAACAACTTCATTTTGATAATGAAAAGATTGGATTAGTTATACTGGAACTTAAAATATCCACAAAAAATCACAGTATGATCAAATCATTCCATGTTCCTTGTTTCTTATATATATTTTTTTTAAATCTTAGTATGATTGAATTATTCCATGTTCCTTTTTTTGATACACAGTACATTAGCAGATATTAGGTAATACAGGTACACAGAATCAAAGATACAAACACAGCCTAGGTTATTAGCATGACTTTTGTAATCATTGTCATTAGTCTCATTATTATTGTTATTATTTTTATGATAAGTGTGGTTATTGTTAGTTTTGTTATATTACTATTGTTAGTATTAATGTATTACCCTTATTATCTTTTTTGTTATTATGATTCCTCCTTTCATCAGAGAATTAATATAGATCATCATTTTCTACTGGCACACAGATCAGCTGTTCAGTAATAATCCTGGTGCTTTTAGCCATCTGGCACTTTGCAAGTTATTGTAAAGCTTATAATTTTTTTCCAATACTTTAAGTGAAATGATTATATATCCCATTCATGTACCCCATCAAACAAAATTAAATTATAATAAGCTATTTTTAGCCTTTTGTATTTAGTAGTTTTTGTTACCATTCTGTGATAAACCATTAAAATCTCTTCACATCTTAATATTTATTTGTTTAATCATTATATGGTTGAAAATGTAAAGCCTAGTATACAAGTCCAATGCTAGAAGTAAAAAAATGATTAGTGAAGTATATAATTTTTCAAGCAAAAGTATATGATAGGTCATATGTTTTGCTATTGTTGCGTAATACTTATGAACATGAATTTTATGACAAAATTGTGTTCTTTCTCCTAATCACCAACTGCCAAGTTCTTTTTACCCTGACATAGTTACATGTGTAGTGCTTTGCTTTTACAATATATGAAACTTGTCTCTTGAAATATGATTCAAATTTGACTGAGTTTTACTCAAGAAAGTATCTGGATTTCCTGAGAAGAATGTTACTTTGCCAATGGAAAATCAAGTATTATAATTAATGTTGTAACTGCTGTCTTAACTAATGTTGTTCCCAGGTCTGAAAATATAAACTATTTACACTCTTTGGTAACTTTTGTGTATGATATTAATATGAGTATTAAAACTCATAAATTGTCAGATCTTTCAAAAGAAATTTGGTTGCTCCTCTTTGTCAGACCTAAGGATCAATCACATAGTACAATTAGCAAAGTTTTAAGAACGTTCTGTATATTAGGTAAGAGAATGTAAGACTGAAATTTGAAACTGCTTTAATTGACTCAAATATACTTACAGAATTATATTTGTAAATTACCATTATAAGTTTGCTGTTTTTTATCTCTGTTATAGAAACTCCCTGGTCAGGTGGTATTCTGAGGAAGTATCACATTATGCTGAAATGTGATGATTTTAGATCCCTGCTCCTGTAATTGTTCTTACTGGATTACACTAGATGTCAAATATAAAGAATTAACAACACTGTTGGTATCCTTCACTGTAAGAAACTTGGTTGACCTTGCTTTCATGAAATTAAAACAATGATTTTAGAAATATCGTCTACTCAAAAGTAAATCGTCTGTTAATCACATTCATAATCAAGACAGCTAATATCTAGATATACATAATATTTGGAACTGTTATAGTCTAATTTGTCAAATTATTCCTAAATGATATAGTGATAGGTAACCCATTCGCGCCGGATGTCACATATATGTGATATGCCCACTGTGAGTTTGCTTGTTTAATTGTTTTTACACATAGATGGCTACACTTGTTGGGAGTACTGCCTGTCTTGTGTTTACCCGTTTCTTTAATTTATGAAAATATTTTACGATATCTTACTTTGCTGTTACTAATGTTTTTAACATTATAGTAATTATGTTTATAATAAAAATAACCATCGATATTCATAGCACTAGTAAAAAATACATTTTCCCACCAAATGAAATCAGGTAAGGCAGAGCCATCTATGTGTAGAGATATTTCACAAAAAGTATAAAAAATGAACACAGCATTTTCCCCATTTTTTGTTCATTTTTACCCATTATGAATGAGTTAATGATGATATTGTATTTTTATGCTTGGTTAAGGAATATTAAGGTAATAAGGTCTTATGAGTTTATTAGCACCATTAATTGCCAGTAACATAGATGAATGTAAAAAAAAATCCTATATTCTTAAATTTCAGCAGCATGATACCTCTAAATGAACTGAGTGTGCACTTTGCTTGCATGGATGCAGGTAATTACTATGGGTATATCAGTAGCTTGCACTGTGACATATCAGGAGTATTAAATTGTGCTGTTTAGAACAGTAATATATCCTGGTAGCAGAGAAAGTAGTATACAAACTGCAACTAAAGTATTAAATGCTGATTTGTGATTGTCAAACTGGGCCTATTTCTGAACAAAAAGTATTTGAGTAGTATTTTCTTTCTTTTCTTTTTCTTTTTCTTTGAGACTGCACAGACAGACAGAGACCTAAAGAGAGAAAGAAAGAGAGAAAGAGAAAATAATTCCAAACGCTGCCATCATAGTTCACCCAAGATGGCAAACATCCTTGAACATTGTCTCCAGCTTCTCATTTATCTTGGTTATCATGGTTCAGAGGGGTGACAACAAAGAAATGGAAAAACAGTTCACATAACAGCTAAGTGATTTTTAAAATATATTCAGTAGTTATAAGTATTACACTTGTAATTTTCAATTGCTGTGCCATTTGTGTAATATAATTTGTCAAAAGCAGGTTGTTTCGTTATTGTTGGTGCTTGTCAGAGGCTTGTCTTCATAGTTCACTAATAGAATAATAATGTTACAATATGCAGTGAAGTATTCTGGTTTGCATAAACAAATATATATTAGTCTATAACTGATTTGTAAATAAGTTATGTATATATCTGTAATACAAAATGCAATTTCTAAGTATTTGTCAACATTAAAAATTCCAATTAAGTAGAGAAAGTTCTTTGGTCTTTTCTTACTTTGGTTTAATTTTGTTTTAGTAATCATTAATCTTGCATTTATCATTTACTGACATAAGTCTTTGGCAATGTAATTCCTAGGGAAATGTTTTCACCTGTGAGAGTTTAGAGGTTTGCCTTGAATGCATGACAAATACCTCCTCAAGGATTGTACAATATTAGGTTACTGTAAACATACTCGTTAATGATGTACCTTTTTGAAATAAAATTCATGTAATGATGCACATTTTTTAAAAACAAATGATCACCTTTTCCTTTTAATTGAAAAGTATGTAGATTATATATGCAGATACTGAAATAAATATAAATAAAAGTAAGGACTTTAATAAAAATCATCATAAACAGATATATATATATTTAACATGATTTATAAAGTATTCTGGAGAATATAAAAATGTACTACTCTCATACACAGTTATTGAATCCTTCCTGAGAGCATAATTATATTAACAAGATGAATATATCAGCCAAGCAAAGAGGATGAAGAATGCTTTGTCTGGAGTTAGTGCATTTCTAAATATCAAATAGTATAATGGGTCATGATCATACACAGAAAATCAAAGTATTTATATTGCTGTCCTACAGTGCTCCAACATTGTTAGAATTCCTAACAGTTTATATATAATGATAATGTATCCTTTCAAGTTTTTTTGAAAATAAATGACAAAAAAAAAGGGAAGTTTCAAATGAAACTAATCAACATCAGCACCATCCATATCTGATTTCTATACTTTAACAATGTATGCTAATGTTTCTGGCCAACTTTAACATCACTGACAATAAAATATTCATAAATACACAAGCTGTCCTTTACTACAAACAAAAGAATTACAGGTAGTAAAAATTAGTCCTTCAAAATCTATATTTCTTATTGAAAAATAAAAAGTGAATACAAGAGAATACATTGAACAAAGAAATACTTCTGTGCATGTGCACATCAGTTCATATTCACATATGCTTTTCTTTCAACGATGAAATCACTTACCATTTAAAAATTCTGATCAAGCTTCTCAAAGATACCAATCAAGAAAGTCCTTTAGGAATCAACCCAGTTTACTATGCATGAAAAAGCCCTATGACTGGACTACATAACCAAAATATATCTAAATTATGAAGCCATCTTTACAAGCACCTCCTATTTAATATATAAAATATGAAAAAAATCATACAAAATCTGTCCAGTTTTATACTATGTAAATTTTGAAACAAAAGTAAATTACAACATTTATCTCCCAACAAATAACTTCATCCTTTTGCTGAGCCTCTATTAAATAATGTTGGACTAGATAAAAGGTACTGTTAGCTAGAGGAATCTCCATAAAGCTTTTGATAGACTTCCTGTCTGTGTCCTTCCTGTAACACATGTGAAATAACAGGCTCTAAATCTGCTATGTGACGACTGAAACGTGCTGCATCTCGTGCATACTGTTCCCATGGTCCTCTTCTTGCCTGCTGATAGGCATGTGCCCAAGTGACCATAGGATGCACTTTTACTGCTCCAAAGTTCACACGTTTTTCAGTCTTTGTGGAAATGTCTTTCTCAATTTCTTCATTCCAACGCCTATTCACATCAGCTAAATTGCAGGTAAATGCATCCTCCTCTTCATCCAGAATATCACAGTTTTTCTCTGCATTCAAGCTTGATCCTTGGTCAGTATCCTTTCTTTCACTGTTAAGGCCAAAAGAGGATACTTTACAGGTTACTGGAATAGTAAGACCAAGGCCAAATGTTTCCCAACTATCATCTAGGCCAGTACTATCATTTTGTACTTCATCCCAGTCACTATCTGAGTCATCCCATTCTTCATCAGATTCTTCACTTTTACAGTCATTAAGACCTAAAATATGGGCAAGAACACTATTTGACAACTTTGTATTATCGATGCACTTTGGTTGGCAATTTTCACTAATAATACAAACATTATTCAATGAATTATTTTTGTCAACTTCATCTTCAAACTCAATGTTGATACTATCTACACTTGCCACACTAGACTCACTAGTACTGCGTATACGGCTATTACTGGAACTACACTCACTGTTGCTGCGCTGTGTCCTGGGGCTCCTTGATTCTGGAGCACATACATCCTTTAACTTTTCCCAAGACTGTGAACCACAAGGAGCTAAAATGTTTCCATGGCATATTCTTTGAGGAAAACCATCACTGCATGGAGAACCAAAACTACTTTCACTGGCTAAAGAACCACAATCACTACTTTCAGCATGAGCCGATGCTTTTAACTCATTTAAGAATTTTCTGCTATTTTTCTTCTGCACTTTGTTAGCAGTTTTAAATGGAAGTGTGTGTACACTCTTTTCCATTAATGGAGCAGCTTTTTCTTTTGGGTACTTCTTATCTTTTAGGAAAATTTTGGGAAGAGGCTGATCAACTCCTGCTGATTTTTCATTTGGAGATTTTGCTCTTGGTGGTTCTGGTGAGATTAAAACCTTCTTGGCAACAACTGCATAACTAACTGGAGTATTTCCTGTATTCTCATTTTCTACTGACGAAGACTTTGTGGTGTTACTTTCATCTGTTTTTATCACAGACTTACCACGAGTCTCTTCCGTAAAATTTATTTGGCCGTCCTGCTGTTTTGGGAATGCTGAAGAAACTGAATAAGTCTTAATACTTCCATCATTATTACGAATAGCAGCAATTTCATTTTCTGTTATTTCACAAAAATCTTGACAAACGGTAGAATCAAGAGAGGTTTTAGTTGAAGGCGATCTGCCACAAGAATCTTCAGCAGATGAGAAACAGCCCTGAGAGGAAGGGCTTAATTCATTTTTCCCTCGCATTTCTTTGGGAATCCACTCCTTTGCTTCTGGATTAAGAGGCTGGCTTGGTTTGCTTTTCTTACTAGGGAAATTTGGGAAACAAGGCTGTGGGTGAGCTACCGGGAAGACTAATTTCTGTTGCCAGACATGCAAGGGGTCCATGAACTGCAGCTGTGATCCTTCAGGAGGAGCAGCATACCAAAGGCACCCACCAGTATTTCCATTTCCATCTGGCTCCACAGTTAGAAACTGGCTCTCCGGGATGTAAGGCTGACTGTAGGTTACTGATGGAAGCTCATTCATCATGTCTGGGTTAACCCAGGTTACAGGAGTTGACCCAGTACAAAAGGATTGATACATATTGCGTAAGGAATTCCACCACTGGTTTGGCTTCCTCATGTTTGCACCTGTGGAAAGTAAAGAAATGGTAAGTATTTTTTTGGCCTTAACCACTGTATTAAGATACAAATATAACTAGCTATTTATATATATATATATATATATATATATATATATATATATATATATATATATATATATAAATTTTGTTTTCTTTCTTTTTAACAAACTCTAGATTCTATTACACTTCTTTTCTAACATGTCTGCTTTTTACAATGCCTCACAAAAAGGATAGGATATCAACACTGATTGTGAAAGAAAAAGAAAAAAGTTCAATGAAAATAATGTTACTTGGGTGTTACTAAAATCGGGGGGGGGGGGGGGGATTATACAAAAACAATTTCATGTCTTATACCCTGGGCCATATCCTTGTTGGGCAGTGGTGGTTTTGGCCTTGAGGTGTCAAGCACTGGAGGGTGCATATCCATATGCAGAGTGACCTGAGGGTTCATGGTAGGAGCCTTTCTGTTCTGTTGAAACCAGTTACTTCCGGGCCTCCTGCCAGGTAAAGAGGACATCCACACTTCCATTTTCCTTAGTCTGAAAGGACAATACAGAAACTATCAATAAAAGGGACACACACTCTCAAATGTCTTAAAATTAAATGTGCCAGGCATTCATATTCTATAACAAGATATTATTCAGATGTACAATGGACCATGCATTAGAAGCATATCAACTAATATAGACCCACTTCCTTTGTTGAGAGGTAAAACTTATTTCTCCCCCCAAGGAAATTTGTCAGGAAAGCGGAAATTATAGAAATTTAAACTTGAAACTCTAAAGTACCAGGGCAGAAGTCCAGTATTCTATTCACTAGACCATATATGTATGTATGTATGCATGTGTGTATGTATATATATATAAGAACTGCTATACTTTGGAATACACTATCTGATCAATTCCATTTTCACTATTGTGTACACTGTAAGAAATGAGGGGGGGTGGAGTGCTCTCTCACCAGACTATCCCCTTAACACCGGGTGACGCTGATCGGCGTGAAAACAAACTGCTCAAAAGCTGGTGTGTGGCTGTACGCCGCGGCGGCGCACCAAAGCGCCAGTGATTCAGGCTGATGTACCCTACTCACGCGCTCAAAGTCGGTGCGGCACCTTTGTTTGCCAGAGCGTAGAGTTTTTTTTTTTGTTTTGTACACCCGGCGCCATTGGGCTATAGGCCAAATTATCAATTTACAAGAGATAGATCAATGAAAGAGAGATAATACTGATACTATTTGTATTTGCCAGAGGACTGTCCTTTGTTGTATAACAATGTTTCCTTAAGGGGGAGGGGTACAGGGAAGGGGAAGGGAAAGAGTTGCCTTATCCCTGTCATCACCCCGATAAACAGGATAATCTCACCCAGGACAGAGAATGTCATTAAGAGCCAAGCACAAGTGTCACTGACTCACTATTAGTCTTCTAAAGGAATCTAACCCCCAATTATTAGGGGAGGCTTGTTACAAATTGTGTGGAGGTGCCTCCACAGTATGCATGGGTTTAGCATTTCATTTCTTAACACAAGAAAATATTTACTTTTGCCAAGGAGTATCATGAGTGGCCAGAGGATAGACGAAAGTCAGTTTTTAGTTGCAAGATATTGTATTCATTGTCACATTTAATTCCTTGGGTAGAGTGAAAAGGCATAAGGGATCCAATCCAAATGACCCAACGTTTGTGAAAGGACTTTGAAATTCCCTAGTATCTGATGATATATGTGATTGGGAAATTTATTGTCTTCCCCTAGAAACAAACCAAGAACAAAGTTAAGTACTTAGAGCAGCACACTGATCACTGTGAGGAGTGCTAAAAAAACTGTCAAGCACACATTGCCATGCTACCAAACTGATGAGTAACTGCTGGACTTGGTAACAAGAAGTAGCTGGACATTTCCCAACATTAGCTTCATAAATAACATTCAGGAAATTATCAATGAACAGATTTGTTATTCACACAGGAACTCGTACCAGGTTGCTTAACCCTTTGCCGACGGGTGACTTCCCGATGCGCAAGGCCTCTCTCCTGGGTTGTATTCATAGTGG